TCGCCTCCTTTCACATGCTGCCCGGGGCGGACCGCACCCGGTCCACCTGTGCTACTCCTCCGCTGGTTACGTCCAAGGTCCATTGAGTAAATAGATGCATAAATGTATTCCGATCAGTCAGGTGGATTATAATAAGTCAAATCTACACCTGTTATGCTAGTCCAGAGCATTAAGAACAGTTTTTATTGATTGCCAATTTTATAGGGATTTCATGGTGTCCAACCAGGTTAGTGCGAAATGGAAAGTTGAACATGTTCTTCGGTAGTTGAAATGCGCGCAGAGGCAGGTTGATCTCATTATCAGAACCAGTGGAAGGACGCTAGCATTCTTTCACCTTCGATCACATGTACTTCTTTTTGCCTGTTCCACCCGCATTTTAATTTTGATTTATAGTCCCACAATTCTTAAACTGTTACTATTCTTACACCAAATTAGCCCTTCACATATAAAGACAGCCTTTTGTTTCGTAGGTGGATGAAACATGTCTCTCTTTTCTCGATGGGTAGACACACGCCCCCGAGGAAACACAACTATACCACAAGGACAATGATTGCGTCGTGTCTTCAGTGGCACGAACTAGCGTAGAAACTTGGCTTTTTCTACACATGAAAGCATTCGTCCTTTATTTGAGCTCAAAATTAACATATGAAACTCTGGTACCCTCTAGATTTACCTAGTGCTTTACCAAACAGTACGCGACCTCAGATGGGTGGTAGTGTTCGCAGAAGACTGGCATGACTCCTGGGTTGCAATACAGCTGCGTCCCCCACCCGTAGACACACTGAGCAAATTAGGCAAAGCGTGCCACCAATGTACAACCAAGGCTGTCCCACTTTGCTAACACTCGATACTCAGAATCTGGTGTCCGGTAAACATGATGTAAGCGTAAAAAATATACGCAGTTATATCTGGTTAATAAGGTGAACTAGTCCGGGTCTAACCGTATCGTTCCCGCTTGACAACCAAATGGAAAGGTGAATCCAGTGGCTTTTCTTTTGGTGGATACCAATGAACATGATGGGGAGTGTCGACATTGACATGTTTCATTATGAATATGATACTACATCCTACCCATCGTCTGTTGGCATGATGTCATTATGTTTTGCCATAAAAGGCTCGCGTTACCTATATAAGCCCATGCTCGTGATGAGAATGTGTTTGCGCAATACAGTACGAGTTTAGTCTGGTACCCAATCATATTTTCCTCAAATATTTATGTGACAGAACATCGCTCGGTTATTCGCGACGATGAACTGATTTGGATGACCAGTTGACAATGAGAAAGGATTCGTGGTATGTATGCCTTCGAAAAAGAGTACTCTGTCGTCAAGTACGCTCACCAATGGTATCCAACGTCGAAATCAGCGTTAAACAACCACGGACAAAGCATTAAACTGTCAGCAGCAAGCTAATCTAGTAGCTTTGAGAGACAACGTGTGTTAATTCCTTGTGGATGGGCTTGAGTAGTGACATTCCTCAGGTGAAGCATCGCAGCCGGATTCGAAATTTAACTCAAAACATAGAAATAAAAATAACTGGTTCGCTTCTTATCACCAGGTAGCAGAAAGAATTAGCTGGGTGGAAAGCGATCACCGAAGTTCGGTGCAAACAAGTTTATGAGGATTAATGAGTAGACGCACAGCTAATATACTGCTAATTCGTATTGGTGAAAGCTAATGAAGCATCTAAGCGTCCGTAGTTCCGTAATTACTGGGAACACGGGGGATATTACAGCGTGTATTCTTTCATATGGCGCGGCACGTAGGCTCAGGAGCGTTAAGCGCAGTGCACTTACTGTGGGCTGTGTAACTGACTGATGTTACGGCCGAAAAAATGGCAACGTGATCCGACCTGCCTCATTGCGGTCACGTTATCCCTGAAACAACTAATGTACGCAGCCAGATTCGGAAGTGCTATAGAATGGCGGCATTTGGATCCCCTGAATATAGTACTGGTTTAGTTTCGCTTCGTCACAAACCCTTCCTAAGCCTCATCCTTGGGCGATTGTGACCTGCGTAAAACGTAATACCGCTTATCATGTAATACACGCTTCCAACACACGTAATCCCAGCAAGCAGAAGACATCTGAACAGTAGCAAGTTTACCAATCAATTGAGAACTCACGGAACTCGCGTTGCGAGACCGGGGGCATGTGTCAGATGGTTGGCTGACTGGTGTGAGTGATAATTAATCCGCGCGCAGCTGAAGTGCACGGATCGAAGTCATTCACGTACGTGACATGCCCTCATCTCTTGAAATGTTTACACAGCTGACACAAAACACTCATCAGGTTTATGCGCATGCTGTGATCTACTAAGCGATAATGCATCTAACGAGTATGCAGAATCCTGGGGGTTGCTTCCTTTTCCGGCGGAACTGAATCCGATTCGCCCACATGTTCGTCTGCTGTTATCCCAACACAACGTGGGCATATGTGATCTGAGTGTCGCCGTACTGCCCGACCATTTAATTCGACATCTGCTTGGGTGCAGTCGCCTTTAATTACAGTTGCGGGTTGTCAGCAGTGCTCATAGGGAAGTCGTGTGTATGCGGGATTATCCGGTTGCCAACTAGAGTTGTGGTCATCTTGCCATGCGGCCACCTTGTCTTGTTTTCTTTCCATTTGTGCTCGACGATTTAGAAACAGAAGATCCAGCCTGTTACGGAGTGTTCGGTTCAACATCACCAAGGCAGGTGATTTACCGGTGGCTTCCGCTGGCGCTATCCTGTAAGCAAACAGCAAGCGATCAAACCTCGTCTGAACAATTCCTGGTTCTGGTTTCAAGTGACCTCTTTTAATTGTCCGCACCGCACTCCGCTAGCCCATTAGAAGCAGGATAATATGGAGCTGTACGGCGGTGTTAGACACTATTGCCATTCATGAGGATTTCAAATCCTTTGCTAGTGAAACATGACCCATCGTCCGTGCAGAGGGCCTCTAGTATCCAAAATATGGCAATTGACGACCTAATTTTAGTGATAGTTTTCTGCGTAATAGGATGAGAAACGGGATAAACATCCATCCATTTCAAATGATCGTCGATTAGCAGTAAGAAAAACACATCTTTAATGGGTCCAAAGCAGTCCGCACGGATGCATTGCCATGGTTTTTCATGCCAACGCTAAGGGTGTACCGGACCGGGTGGTTCATTTGACTGATACTGATGACATCGACCACGTGTTTTTAGATAGTTCTCTAGTATTGAATCTAGGTAGGTCAAGAGCAGTAATCGCACGCCAAGGCTTTCATTCAGGCTACGCCTGGATGTGCGTTGTGGAGTTCGTTTAGGGTGAACGGCCGTGCCTTCGGCGGTGGAATCAGGCGGGATCCCCAAACAAACAGCCATTGTGAAAGCTCAATTCATTTTTCCGTTGTCCGTAGTGTATAAGCTCGACTGGGACTTAGTAGGCCAGCCGGTTTTTTAAACCGTACTACCGAACATAGTGTCGGATCACGATGGGTTCACTGACGTATGGCGTCACATGTCAATGAGTTGGTCTCGAGCTGTTCCTTCAGATGTACTTTACTATTTCCTCCACTATTTCGTCCGGGGTCTCATGTAGTAACCTGCTTAATGCATCCGCTGTATGATGGTTCAACCCAGCATTATAGGAGATTCGATATTCATATGCACGTAATATTAATGCCCAGCGTTGCATTCTCGGTGAAAACATTTGCTCGATTCCCTTGGACTCGTTCAGCAAGAATATAAGTGGTTTGTGATCTGTTTGTATTTCGAATTACTTGCTCCAAATATACTGAGGAAACCTCTTGATGTCAAATATAACTGATAGGGCTGCTTTCTCCAACTGAGAAACGAGCAGATGTTTTCACCGAGATTGTCTTGCAGATAGTTTGGCGAGCAATTAGTGGAACTGTGATCCTCAGGGTCCGGTGTGTAGTTATCGATCGAGTAACACCTATCATTTGCTACGTTAAGAGGAAAGAATGAGTTTTCGTTTCCAAGGTTGTGTTTATGTGGTTACGTTTTGTGTCAGATGCCATCTAGTGACTCTTACCTCGATTCTCTTAAAACAAACACCAATGGCGAATAATGCTGTACAGAAACCTGTCAATACGTCTGCATTGGCCATTTTTGGTTAGGACAGTCCATGAGATATAATCTACAGACACTCCGGTCAGTATTGCCTGTGCTGAACACGTTAGCTGTAGATTTCTCACTGGATTCCTACTTCTGATTCGCTGTTTGTAAACCGATATGGTGACTACAAAAGTGGAGCCAGTCGGACTGTTCTTCTACGGTCAGACACATGCGTGAAAGACTGGAACAGGCCATCCTACACCGTTACAGGCCGTCCCACAAACCAAAGTTCCCCTTACAAAAAACGAACTTGGAGGACAAATGAGCTTATTCAGTGCGTCCTCTTCATAGATATGCTTAGGAGGATAAGCTAGAGTAATTTTACTTACGCGTAAACCAGTTCCTACTCCGCACCCATTAGAAGTGATCGGTGGAGCTTATTCCAGTATGCTGCAGAAAAACTGCAGTAGAAGTACAACAGTCGCAAGTGTAATAAGCCGTGAAAGTCACTTGAATGTGCATGTTTCTCAACGACAACTACCCAAAGCAATGCTAGCACAATGAAAAGGTGGATAAGTGCAGGTAGCTTTGGGATTGTATTTGTCCCCTTGTTTGGCTACTTATAACTGTGTTTTAATCGTGAGCAGCGAGGAGCTGCAAATTTAATTTTTTGACGGAGTTGGATAACACCGTCGCTGGCTGAAGGAAAATCGAAGATGGAATTTCAATGATAGCTGTCTATAGGGAAGCAGGGGAAAAGTTAAAAGGTAAATGCTAACCTGAGGACCTAATAATTCGACGGAGTTAAAAGCATTAGCAGGGTATTTCAGGTTACAAGCATGGCGTAGGCCTAGCAGATGATTTTTTCGGCAAGGCTTTTTGAATAGCATCTATATTTCCGATTAGTAAAATATGATGATCATCCACATAAATCATAGGTACTCAAGACATACTCACCGTCAACATCCACTGGTCTTTCATTTAACAACCAACTGAACCGTATATCCGCATCGTAGCTGATTGGCAGTAGGTTCGACTTCAGCTCTAAGCGTCCTCCGATTGCGGCATACACGACAGTACATGTTGGGTCAATGAACGTTGGTGATACTGAAGTAAAATCGTACAGCAAAGATGAAATTAGCAAATAAAACTAAGTATCGTATGATGAAGATAGTTTGTCTTCTGACATTGCATGATTCGGCTTCACTGAAATTCGTGCATGTTGTAGACACTAAGCAGCTGGGATGGACAACGGTCTTGCGATACTTAGGAGACATGCTCTAACCATAATCAGTCAGAGAGCCACCACACATACGGGGAAGAGACGGACCAGCGATGCATTACACTCGTAAGGAGTTTAAGTTTCCCTCGGGATCCGGACACGCGACTATTAGGTTACGAAGCAGTGACTTAAGCTAATAGGCCATACATGATGACTGTAGGCCGCACTAACTGGCCCTATCTGCGATGGTCGGGTGCGTCATTTCGTCTGGCGACGCATTGATTGTGACTTGCTCTAGATCCCAAAACTTACTTACCTAAACGGTCTTCAAAAGAAAAGACGCACAGGACACCGCAGTTTAATTAAGTATGGTCAGTAGCGCAGCTCACCATCGCCTGAGCCGACATAATAACTATAGCAAGAAACAACATGTGTGATAAACTAAGAACAAACGGATATCAGTTACTCTGAAAAAGTCACAACAAAAGTAGGTTTTCAAATGCAAGGCTAACAGACGAAAGCAAGAGATCGTATGCATGAACTTCAGTGGCTTTGCAATGGTACGGTCACACAAAACACAAACCTTGGCATGGAAACCACCACTTCAAAACAGCGGCATTCATCAGTTCAATCATCCTATGCGCGATCATCTCAAACCCAGTTTCCGTCATTTCGTTGAATGGACAGTTTTAGGCTCCTTGCCTACCGTGAATGGCAGGTCTACGAGAGAATCCCATTGTCATGATTATAATTCTTTCACTGCTAGGACTATCTGGATAACATAACACATGAGTGATCCCTGCACTAGCTACGAATGAGAAACATTTAACTAGAGCATCTCCAGCAATAACTGTGCAGACACTATCAATGAAACCGCATACGCTAATCCTGTTTGTCGCTTAAACATGGTATTACGTGCGGAGGGAATATATAAATGGTGGCGGTGATTGCTGAGACCTGATAAATCATGGAGATAATCGTCAGGTTCAGATACCGACCAAAAGGAAAGAAAAGGGTAAACGAAGTACGTTATTGTCCGGTTATTAATAACTACACCGGGTAAAATTTTAACGGCTCAGCCTCTACCAAGTCTCGGAAACGGAGATGAAAATGACGCATGCATTTGATTCTTTCACTTTCCGCGTTCCCCACGGTCTCAAGACACCTGTCCCAAGTCATCTGTAGGCGGCACACCATTGATAGTTCCGAAAGAAAGACGCTTACACGGTATCGACAACGACGTTCCGTTATACACTTCCCTTGCAACGTGCTCTTCCCTATTAACATGCCAATTTAATGATCCGACGAGGTTAGATGAACAGATCTTCTTCTGGCATATGAAAAGTGCCCTAATTGAATGATCCGCATGACGGACCGGTCTGAGGCTTCATCGCCCATAATACATGCATAAAAGTAGCCCTAAAACACAACATATGATAACAAGGTGATGGCTTATATGTTACTTTGTCACACCGGCATGCGGCCAGGTATAGCATAAAAGCACGGGCGAAACCGTTCGAGGGAATACCGTGTATAGAAGCAGGTCCCCTCGGGACGGTTCCACGGGTGGTCGCATTACTTTACCTGAACATTTTTTTAATCTGCTTTTGTTGTTGTTCCTGGCTTCTCAATTTATTTAGTACCTTAAACCTGCCAATTACTTTAATACTGGTTTTGGATTCATTGTATAAAGTGTGGACAATTGATTAGTTTGTGCGATCCTGCTGTTCACATTGATCAGACCACATACTTGGACTGTGCCTCGCATCGCCGAGGAATATACCATTTATTTATTTTATTTATTCAGGCACCTGTTATATTACAACCATCATCAGTAAGTAAAAGATCGATTACCAATTCGGACTACGCTCCTCAAACCGATACATACTGATTAAAAGCCATCAGTTATGGAAAGAATAAATTCCCGAGGGAACTTGTAGTAGAAAAGTACACATAAGTATGTTGCAAATAACCGCTCACCTGGTGTGGCCTCGTGTAATGCACCGACAGAGGCAGAGGACCTTTGATAGCGTCCTTTAACAGAAAAGAAAAAAGGTGACACAATTTGGTCAAGTGACACTGGTGTTCAATATTTAGCTTGTTGTGCGCCAGCCTATTCCATTTTACCGAAATCACCCAAAATATAGATTATTAATATTAGGGGAACCACATAGTTGAGGACGTTCTATGGTGCTTGGGGAGCTCAGCCGCAAGGAGTGTGAAGTCTGCTGAAGTACCAATCAAACAACAGCTTCCAGTTTAAAACAGTCAGTTCCCTTTAGTAACTTGAAAAGCACAATTAGAAAACGAAGTTCGGCAGATGCATGCATTTCGTATCGTCTCATCTGTGCTGATAACGATAACCGGTAATTTTATATGACATTTTGTGGGTACAGACATACATACAAACAAACGCGAGAAAAAAGGGGTGTCTTTTTTCTACAACCAGAGCAGCCTGAGGCTGACCGATAATTGTTTTTGAAAAAAGCACTGGCTTAATCCGATTAAAGGCAATCGCCTCGGCAAACCGGAGGAGCCGGGAATTGGTATGGCGAAGCAGGATTCTAAACGCCTTGTTGACCTCAATTCGGTGACCTGGTGTCAATAAGTGCCTGCCGATCGAAGATGCTGACGGGCTGCGTGCACACATAGTCTGATTTGAGCTTGCTTGCTGAATAACCCCGCCTTGAACCTATTTTGGTACATGTTCCTTCATTGGGGAACTCAGTGTTCTATTGATCCTGCCGATGTAACTATCCCCGCAGTTACCTACGAATTGATATAAGCAGCGGTAGTTGGCGCCAATAGGCTGTTTCGTTTAGTGGAGGCAACGGTAGCTTATGAGTTCGGTCGATGATTACAACTTCGGCAGCCCAGAAAGTGCTCTGTGTGGCGCAAATCAGACGTCTTCTGGTCCTCAAAACAGACATGTTACCCTTAAAGGGCAGCTCTAAGAATACCTTTTTCTTAGGCACAGAAGGAACAGCAACTTTCATTTCACGGATTTCGCTGTGCTTCCGGATAAAGTTTCGAGGGTAGTCATTAGCAATTAACGTGTCGGTAATTAGTTCTAGTTCATCGGCTAGACAATCGGTCGAACATATTCGTCTGGCGCGACTAAACAGGGTCTTCACAAGTGTTCGCTTGTGCCGCATTGGCGTAAAGCTGCTAAAATACAGCTACTGTCCCGACCACGTTGTTTTTCGATAGACAGACCCTTTATGGACTGGCATCTGCCGAACTTCGTTTTCTAGTTGTGCTTTTCAAGCTTCTAGTTTATGGGCGATACCAGTAATTAAGCGGTTAGTCCACACGGTGATTTCGCATTGTGCAAAACTGGCAAGTTTCTTACAATATCATGGACTGAGATATGCTCAATTTTGCTAGAATGACGGACTTTAGTTTAACAGAGAGTCCCGGATAGTTTTTCGCTTAGTACCGATGTTGTATCTTATGTGCAGCGTGATTCTCAATACCGAGTAACTAGTGCACAACTTATAGACCAGACGCCACATGGGGTTTCGAATCCCCGGCAGATTCGCCCCATCTGCGTGGTTCAAGCGACGATAAAACCGGCCCTTGTTTACAATGTTGGGGGAGCTTACTAAAAGAAGTGTCCTCACCTAGAATAGAGTTGCAATAATGGTGATAGAATTGTGTTGTTTGAAAGAAATTTCGAGTTTCAGATGAAATTGTGTGCTTGAGAAAACAAACTTAGGAAGGCAGATCGATTCAAGGCGGAATTTAGCCTGGCACTACTTAAACCCTACTTACACGCTACATAGCAAAAATCATTTACTACCACAAACAAAAATGGGGTGAACGAGGATGGTCGGATGACCCACCACAACAGTGAGATATGTTCGCCTCCATTATTACTACTAATAGTAATAATAATACTAAGGCATATTTCTCCTGGTACCGAGAAACCGAGCCCACGAATGGACGGATCATATTTACATCAACATGCTTCGACATGCGAGGCTGTCAGTTGTTTGGAATTTTACAGGGTTACAATAGGAATGGTTTTGCTAGTATTTTCATTTGGGACTTTTGTTGCCGTATGCCACCAGCTGGTGGGCATTCTTATTTGGTGGTTTTCGGTGCAGCTTGATGGTGCCATGATGGCTGCGGTTAGATGCGGGAGAGGGAGTATGAAAAGGATGTAACAGTTAGCTCTACCAATCAAAATCAGATGAGTAATACACAAACTCATTTAATAGACTGGAGTGATAGAGTTGGAGCTATTTGTGAGTAGCAAGTTATGGAGTTGCGAAAATAAGAAAACTACTATATTGTTAACTCCAGTAGATCAACAAACTCAAGTTGCGTTATCCGAATAATCGTAGGGTGTTAAGGTTTAGCGTAGTGTCTAGACATTCATTGGTCTAATTATGGAGTTGAACTAATCAAGTTGTGTTTTGGGATGCCATATGGTTGAGATGCTGGGTGAGCTCAGTTGCATTCCTTTCAGCCTTCACTTGTAGGTGGATATTTAGTGCGTGTGTGACTATGCACGGAAAAGATTATGTTAAAAAAGGGAGAATTAGACAGATAAGTAGACAAAGAAATAAACACCTATTCACTGCAGTCAGGAGTTATTGGATCGTAGTCTTGTAGAAGATACCAAAGACAGTTGATTAGGAAAGAGTGCAATAGTTGTCCTAATCTTGGTGTAGATATATAGAGGGAATGCACCATAACTAAGAGTGAGGCTATGGTCTAAGGAATAACTTAATAGGAAATATTCGTAAGACAGTAGGACGGTACAGGTGAAGTAACTAGGATCCAGAAGCGCAACAGATTCAGTGCAGAACGAAGTAGGGTAAGAAAGAACAAGTGAATTAATGCGGTCATTCGTGAAACCGTCTCCCAGGGACCTGCTTCCATGCGGGGTAGTCCTTTGAGAGGTTTCACCCGCACCTCCACGCCCCATCTGGTCATGTATCGGTGTGGTTTAAAAGCACGCTGTCCACTACCGATTTTATTCATCATGTGGAAAATTGTTTTAGTTTGGTGAGCTAGTTATTCAAACTAGTAAGCCCTTTCGTCATTCATAGTATTTTTTGCTTGCAAGCTGACCGGGAACATCAGCTGGCGTCATATGCCATTAAGTGTGAGTTCAACAGTTCAGATTGAACTGTGTTTTTAATTGCAGCAAAGTTTTATATGCACCAGTGGGTCTTTTGGCGTGGGTATACATGTTGCTTAGAAGCTTCCAACCATCACCTCAGGAGATTGGCCCACTCGTGACCAACAGAAGAACAGAAGAAGTTAAAATAATTAAATTAGGGGTATAAATATCAACCAAATAAATAGCCAAATAGCATGTCTCGCGACCTGGTGGGATGTCATATGATTGGGTGTGATAAAATATTGGATAAGTTTAGAATAACAGGTGGCGTCCTTAACGAGTTGACTTCTCATTCAATACGCACTAGGTCATGCAAATAATCCGGATGCCATAGGACAGTGGAATATTTGCAATATAAGAAGCGATAAAGCAAGAGATACACTTGTGTGTTTCTCCACCTACAAGTGGGACTTCAAGGGTGGCATTTTTGAGCATAAAGTTATAGTATTCTGAAGTGTGGTGAACTTACATTATTGATCAGATATTGTTCTGACCTGGTGAAATTAACACATTTGAAGACACTTGAAGACCGAATGTTTTTATTATGCTTTGCGTGGTGAGAAAAGCTATTGTTCATTTTATATTTGGTTAGGTTCCCACTTGTCCGTACTTCCAATGCTAGCTTGTTCCGTATGTGAGTATACCTTACCAGGAAGAAGATGGAGCAGATCTTTAAGTTCCCATGTTTTACAGGTAGTGAGCAACTCCTATTTCTTGTGGGATAGGTTGAGGAATTTTGCAATTTAGGATCTATTCCGGTCGTGTACATCCTGCAATGTACAATGTTGTAAAAGAGAGCTAGATTATTTTACAGGCAGCGCACCCAGATAGGGTCTAGGTTGAGGTGGCGACAGCGGTCTTCATAGTTCAGAGTGGTGAACCGGCCAATAAGGAGTTTAGTGAAAGAACACTGGATGTTTTCTAAACCTATTTGATCCGTTCTACACAGGTGGCTATGGGTAATTGTGCAGTACTTCAGCACAGTTCTCACGATAACCTTAAACATTTCCAGTCTCGCTTCAGGTAGAACGAATGATTTGGTGATATAGGCTTTCAATTGCCTTGCCTTTGTTATCTGATATGAGACATGGTCGAAAAATTCACTGACGCGGAATATATTACTCATGGTCTCTAAATGAAGAGGAGTTTGGGATGGTTGTACCTGCTAGGGTGATGGAGCCATCCGGTATGCAACATGCATACCCAAGCACGCGATTTTTCAGCGCAGAATATCATGGACCAATTTTTACTCGCCGCAAAGTGGTATGATCGCCATGTTTGATGGAGTCACATATGGTATTTATATACATTAGGAAAAGTAGTGGTCCAATGACACTGCATCCACTTGTAGTTTAATATGGCGATTGGTAGCGCTAGGGGATCTATAGACGCAACCCAATAGAAATTCAGTGGAAGGGATTGCTAACCACAAGGAATCTTCTAGATCATTGAGTGGCAGAAGATCAACAGGCATCACTGTGTTGTCATTTCGAATGTAGATAGCGCATCCTCCTCCTCGTTTGCTCAGACGATGCTTTCCGAACAGGCGGTAACCAATAACTTGAAGCTGAGAGTCACTTATATCTGAGTTGCACCATGTTTCAGTGGTGAAAATAATATGGGGAGTTTTAAGACAGACAAAAGTTGGAAGAAGGTGCAAGTTAGGTAGTAGAGAACGAATGTTTATAACAGCGGAATCTAGAGAATATACGGAAAGTGGTGCTGCAGGCAAAGTTAAGAGGGACTGTTTGCTAGCATTGTTATTGGTGGTGTGCCACAATGAGGCATATGTGATTTGGATTTCTATATGGTATATTGACTCCAAGGAAGATGTTCTAATACAGAGATCATCTGTTAATTCATAGAGCCTGGTGGTGGGGGATAATGTTGGGGATATGGTGTCCTAAAAAAGGATTTTGCAGGATTTCCATGACAGGAAATGGCGGCGGGGCATAGACTAGTTGTTGTGAGAGCAGCTGAGGGATGCTATTGTGCGGACTAGGCAATGACCTAGGAATTTCCGAATTTCGGTCGCTGGCGGTAGTTCCACTGTGAGCCACACGGAGTTAAGTAGACTTCAGCTATCGACTAGCTCCACGATACTCCTTAGAGGTTACAGTTAACGTCTTCTGAATGTTAGAGGAATACTATTGGAGTATAAGTTGTGCGAACTCGCAGTGAGCAAACCCATTTGTTGTTCTATCTACGGCACCGATCACCATTGGGGTATAGTGTTCTGATATCGGGCTCAAGCGCATGAAATGGCGGCACGCATTCAAGCAAAACCAACAGTCGGACAAAATTTGTATGACCACCCTAACTCGAATAGAGGTTGGGCAAAGCAGAATCTGTGACGACGTCAAGTAATGATAGAAATCTATGACACACAGAGGATACAAGGATGCTGTGCGGCTACCATACATTTTAAGAAGATAGGTGGTCAGATGATAGCACAGCACGGCTATCCAATCCATATGATTCGCAGAAATACCGGCACAAAACAAACGAAACGAAAGGTTAAACTATCTACTCTGGTTGCGGATACTGTTGGTGTCACTACTGTTGTTATTGCTGTGTTTCCTATTAAGAATTAATTTGCGATGATCAGTTATCAGGTGGAGGCTTTTTCCACGTTGCTTTGTTATCCGAAGCACTAGCATCGTAAGAGAGAATCAGCTGACGTTTAAATGCAAATGCAGCCACAACGTACTTGTAAATGTATCCGCCATTTTCCTCACCGGTTGACTTGGTGCTCCCCGCCCATAGTCCGTTACTGCTACCACTCGGAGCCAAAATTCCTGTTCCGGGTCCAAACGACCCAGTGCCAACCGAGTTCGTTTCACCCCGGTCTCCAGCACCCGCCAAATAGTTTCCTCATCCTCCGATGCAGATGTTCGGGAAGTGGCTGTGCTGCGCGCCAAAGAGGGGACAGGCGCGAGGCGAGATGTGCTAGCAACCCCTCGAACTTGTACTTCGTATGTGAATGGGGTGAGGGTCTTTTCGAGACTGTATGCGCGCGGAAGTTGCCACACGAGTTCTGGTGGAGTGGTGTCTGCCAGGACATCCACTGGCGCTTCTATCGACGGTTTAATGAAACTCAGATCTGGAATAACTGTACAGTGGAAAGTTTAGGATGAAGTCTGAGTCAGATTGGGCGAATGCACAGGAAGACTTGTGGTAATAAGAAGAACGACTTAGGTCCAGTATCATTCATGTCCTGGTTTTACCCTGGGGCTACTTGATCTAAGCCATAGGGCAGTGTCTGAATATATTCCCATGTTTTGTGGAGGCATACTTACTACTTGAGTTTGACAACGATGGTACTTTCGCCCAGCTGTAAAGAATAAGACCCGTTGTACTTAATTGCTGTAGCTACCGAAGAAATAAGGGGAGAAAAACTCGCCGACCTTAAGGGATAACCAGAACACAGTACCCTCAAAGGTGAATCGAGTCTGTGATATGAGGTGCCACTTCCTGCTTCCAAAGCAAACGAATACAGAATATCCCATGAATCTTTCTGCATATCTGTTGTGCCTAAGTCGCAAATCATGTGATTACTGTGAACGCAACGGCATATATTATCTCTAGAGCTCTGCTGTTTTCTCCCAGCGACACGTCTTCTTTTCGTCACACTGTGAAGGAGCTTATTTAAAGGGAAGATGAGGCGTACTCTTTGCTGTTCATTATGAATAACCAGGTAAACTACAAAACAGTAAGACACAACGATGCAACTGCTCTTAACCTCCATGTTTCAATGCTGTCAGGCAGGGCAAAAAACAACTGGGCAGCAAAATGTGGAATTTGGTCATAAATACGGAACTCGGCAGTACATGTCGTCAGTTCTGTGTAAACTAACCAACTTGTGAGTCGATACGAACAGCTCGGGAACAAACGCCACGACCGAACTGATTCGATGGCAATATCCGAATATGGTACGACTGAAGTGGGTCCGGGTTCATCCAAATCCACTGGGGTTCTTCCAGGTCTGACACCAAGGAATCCCATTTGCTGTTACCTTCGAACTGAATCTGACAGCAAAGACCGATAACAGGATCAAGTTAGATTGGCAGCAATATAGACCAGAACTCAGCTGATAAAATTAAAGAAAGCAATTGGCACTTGTGGATGAGGTGTTCCATTAATTTTTTGACCTGGTTGGTTGGTAGCCCATGTGATTTTCTAGGTTGCTTTTTTAGCCACAAGTAAAGAAAAGCACCACAGTGTCGTGGACTTCAGAGTTGAATACACAAAAGATATCTGAACAGAAAAAGTTGCACTTTCTTGGGAAGTGCTTTATAGCCGTTGCGGAGCCCGTATAGCATCGCGAGGATTACGCGCAGCTCACCGGAACTCACTTCAGTAGTACTGTTGTTATGCGGCGTCTCAAACGGTTTGGACAAAGCTGGGCTATCCTCATTAAAACCACTGTTATTTATCAAAGCAAAGTGCGCCGACTCCATCTAAGCTCTCCCAACTGACTGGTGTATCAACCGTCTCATATCACACATACACTTCTACATGGTCTTCCTCCGGAATTTGATATTACGTTACAACCCATTTACTTCATAAACATTCACGTCTCTTCATAGCCTATACATAACTTTGATAGACTAGTTAGTTATAAATACGAGGATATATAAAGCATGATTTGCCTACAGCTGTGTCAGTAAACGAACCCTTGCTATCGGTTAGCATTTCTTTTCTGCACTTCGATACATTCGTGTGAGGTTTCGCGTTTCGAATCCAGTCTCAGCTCGAGTGTACAAACTTCCTCGGATAGGCCTTTAAGCAAAATCCGAAAGCAGATGGCTATTCTGGGTTTGGGGTAGTATCAGGCAAAAGTTAGTCCGTCCCAACTAAGAGTCGAAACAAGTAGGACATGTTCTAACAGAAGCCTGCTTTCGGAAATCTCTAATTGCGATAGACTCAGGTGCCCTAAGTCGCATTGCTGCTTTCTCTGTCGGATCGAAAACCAATCTGGTTTTCACCCATATGGCTCAAGTGTGGCAAATGCGAGCGACCTGTAGGTCATGCTAATAAGGCTCACAATCTAATAATGTTCGCATAACGTCCTTAGGTCTTTTCAAAGACCGATATGGTAATTGTTACTTCTTCGGAGATGGAACAAACCCAAAGCAGTGTCTGGAAATCGAGATGCAAAAACTGCGGGGACATGTGGATCCACTCTTACAACACAGCACTTAATTATGTAACTGAACGATTTAGGGTATAAGGACAAATAATGCTTACATATACAGCAATATAACCGACCCTTGTTTTTGTTGTTGTTGCCTAAAAAACCTGTGCTACAAGGAAATAGCGTCACCTGGTTTCTAATATAAACACAATCGCCTTGCAATTGTATCGGGTTGCATTGGTCTGGGCTGAATTGTCCTGATTGATTCCAATGTATTTGTTTGTACGATGTCCAGATGCAAAAAACTAACGGTATGGGGAGAACAGTCCGCTCGCATGAGTGACAAAAGTAAAAGCGGGTGATCACTTAGGTTGATGCTGTCCTTTTGTACGACACATGGCAATGAAATGAGTGGACGGTTCGTCAATCTGTTACTCAGTAGCATTTTGGGGTGATCTTGGGGAAGTTCCTCAGCATCTGAAACATTGCGCTGCTCTAACCGAACTACTACTAGGTGATTAGTACGACTGCTATTTTCCATGTCGACAGCTTAGATCGGATCACAATAATCAAGAATAGATGGCTAGGTAGTGGTTGCTTGAGCCGTACTACGAAATGTGCTGCAAAATATGCAAGCTGATCGGTATGGGAAAACTATCACCACTTAAACGCAAGTCAAGACTTAAGGCTCTATTGGACCTGTGCTTCAGACAAGTTTAAATAATCGCCTCTAGTTCACGGTCTTTCATTATTCATCTATTCTTACTAAATCCGGAATCCCATGGTCCCAACCTATTTCAATATTGTGGGCTTTCTGGGACATGTGGCCCAGTGTAAGCATCTTTTACGTCTCACTCAAGTTGATCAAAGTTTCATGAGCCATTGTACTAAATGGATGGCTCATGCTGGATAGCCGAAAAAGTCAAAGTTCTCCTGTATGCCGCATAGAGGGGCTACTTCATTAGACTTTTAGTCCATATAGCTTTTTCGTCAGTTGTAGCTGACGCTTCAATTCAATTTGACAGTTCCGCCACCGGGATTGCTTTATTACGTGATGAGCGGATAACCTTGAATTTGGTCGCTTTGCTTAGTTAGGAGTAGTGAGCAACATTCTCCAATCTAATGAAAATAAGGTGTAGTTAGAATGATAATCTGCTACAAATGTGCATGGACCGTAACCGACGGCAGTCTAATCATTTTGACGTCCATAGCAACAGTGTCCAGTGGGCGGTAGAAAATGTGCCAAAGCATAAGGTAAGTATAAATTATCCGTGGGCTGCGTAGACGTGAAGAGATCGGTTATCGCTGCCGCACTTTTGAAATACCCGCCATGGATCTGGATTGCAATACGCAAGCATAATTAAGATCACAGTTTGCCTTTGTTGTGAAAGTTAGTAGGGTCCACCAGATAGATTGAACGTATGTCCATTGAGATGGTCTAGGTTTTAGTCATCTAGAAATCCCGGTACACAAGCTACAGTGGAACAAACGATAGGTTATAACCCCAAATAGAATAATGACAGTTTACAATAGCATAGAAGTAGTAACAACCTACAGATATAAATTCACGTCATTCTACCCGCCGATAGATGATGGATGGATGTATTAATTATGTAAATTAAGCTTCGCGACTGGGTAAACAATACCGTCTTGTTCTTTGTTGTTGGATGAGCGTGCCATCGGAAGTATCGCGGATCTCAAAGGAAGTAAGGAAGTACTTGTGTGTAACACAAAGTGCTTCCGCTGCGGACGAGTGTGGTTGAGACGGGACCGAGGAATCTGTGGAGTTCTATATCAGTACCTCGGGGTGACCACTTTCGTGTCCCCTAGGTGCCAAATGGCGTAAGGAGACTGTCTCCTCGCGACCATCAGACAGCCGAACATGAACGTATTCCGGGTTACATTCTAGAAGATCTACTTCCTCGACAAGAGGGTCGTACTTAGAGGAACGCGCATTTTTGCGCAGGACAGGTTCAGCCGATAGTAACCATTATGACTGGTGACTTTCTGTTATACAGGAACATAAGTTCATGGGGTGTAGCACCGGGGTCTACAATATTCTGTGTGACGGCATGAGAAGTGTTGACACACCTTTACTGACAAACTCTGAAGTAATGTGGCTCTCCCGCAGCGAAACGAATGCATTTGTTAGAAATACGTACAGAAGTCTTCGCTTTCTTCATGGACCACCAATTTGATCTGCAGTTCCGGACGACTGCTAGTAAGTGGTTCGCAAGACTTACTTATCTGGCAGATACCTCGGCAAAAACAAATGACGTAAATCTCGCCTGCAAGGAAATCTGCTACCGTATTCAATGCAAATGGTGAGATACGAGGTTTCAAAGGAAATTTAAAATGTTGCTTGCTTTTTGTTCGCAGTGATCTTGACAGCTTTCTGACATTAAATTTATTTTAGGGGAGATAAACGTGGGTACAGAATTTCCAGTGGCTCTTCCTGAGGAAAATGTGCAGCATTTAGAAGATCTGAAACTAGCCTTGTCGCAGGTTTCCCCAGCGAAATTGAGGGGAAAATGAGAGCAATTTCATGGGTTAAGAACCCATTTTCGTGCACAGAAAACCATTTTTCGCATTTATTCAGTATGAAAAATGCATCGAGTTGAAACTAAATACTTCTTTTCAGCAAATGTTTTGCAAATTGTTACTGTCTACTTTCTATTGTAATACGAGGGAGAAGTAGCCTGTCATGGAGAAGAGAGCTGTCGCCGTTTTCATTTCCCACAGAGCGTGTGTGGAAGTGCATTTTCTCATTACACCAATACAAAACACATAGCACTGCAGTAGAGTTGAAGGTGAACCATACGTGAGGTTGCACTTTTCTTCAAAAACAGCAAGCATCAAAGTAGTCAATGTTACATGTCAAAAACAACTTCATGCCACACATTAGGAATTAGATAGGTTTTCATACCTTAGTTCAACATCCTACAGTTTTTACTAACAATACTGAACACTCGTGCTTTTTCAGTGCAGCGTAATAAAAGTTTTCAAGACGACCCGTTTCATTCCCATTTTAGTAAGTTCTAGTCCTGTAGTTAACAATATCTCAGGGGGTCCGCCGTGCGAGCTTCCACTAAATAGTGGTCAGCGGCCAAAACATTTCGAGAACCCCTGGTCTGGACCATTACACCCTACTTCACCAGTATCAGGATTATGGAATCTGCGATCCCGTTCTGGGCTAGATGGACGGCTCTCTCGTTCCTCATCATCTGAATGGAGGGTTCACAGAGCCCTATCCAAACCAATCGAATTCAAGTGCGGCGTACCTCAGGGTTCGGTAATCGTATCCCGCCTGTTCCTTGTCTCCATATCTTATCTCGCAAAAGTGCTATCTTTGAATTTTTACTATTCGCCGATCATCTAGATATATGGCGCATTATCACCACAGCGGATGCTCCTACAGCCATACAAGATGATCTGGATAAAACACATGCGTAGTTCATCGGGAGCATCAATGGGTCAATGAATGAATGGATTTATCACGGGGAAAAATCCAAGCTTGACTGTTCCTGCAGGTAAAAAGTATAAACAGGATGTGAAGGTGTCAACAAAACAAAAGTAACGCATATCGGTGGACTCACAACAGTTTCATTGGTGCACTTAATTTGTTTACCTAATGATGAGTCTCAGTAACATTGGAGAAGTCTTGTAGTGCATGTGTTGTAATGTTTCATCAAAAGTGTGTATTGCCTTCAGTTACTGTAGAAGCGGTGAATGAAATTGGAGGAATGTCGCACCACTAGGACGTACGAGGTGAGAAAATATGCCTGCAGCATTCCATCCAGCTGTACTGTGTGGCTAACTTCAAGTGATGGCCTCAGAGTGAGCTTTCGTGACTTAATTTCAACAAGTGCCGACATGCGTGGTTTGGATACT